CTGGAAAACTCACTGATTCCTCCACAATTTCCACCACAACCTTCTTTTCCATCTTGGCTTTGTTATTGCTGCTGCTGGTTTGGTTATTGTTATTATTGTTCATAGCAGCAGCATTGTTGAATGCAAGAATAGATGCAAACACAGATTTTGGGTTCCTTTGTCTCACAGTCTCATGGTAGATTTCCAACAACCTCTCTTTGTTTGGTTCAACTGCCTCTTCTTTCACAATTTCCTCACATAAAGAATCTGAAAACGAAAAGTAGAATAATTGATAACACAAATTTCTCAAACCACATAAACAAAGTATGTTTCTTGCAGTTGCATTCAGATATAGTTCCATAGAAATAAAAACACAGTATTGAATATGTTACCACATCCGAAAATAAAATCAAAGCAGGAGGTGAACTAATACATACAGTATGTATAAAAACAAAAAAAAGTTGTAATCTAAGAAAGCATATTGTCACTTTCTCTCAGTGTGCTTTTCTGCAGACTTTATCACCTTTTTTTAAGTTGTGAGCAGGAATTATTCTAATTTGAAAACAATAATGCAATAAAGCTTTTATTCGTCATAGCAATGCATTAAGTTTGATATTTCTTCTTATATAAACCATGATAATTGCAGGTATAGCAGATTTTATAGTGCACTAAAAACTCTATATAGAACTTCCACAACACCACACAGCCCTTTTGCTGCTCAGATTCGTGGATAAAATGCATATATAATGCGAATGCAATGCAATAAGTTGCTCAAAAACTAGGTCAATCGAATCCAATCCTGCTTTTCCTTATTTTCCCAAGAGAAAGAAACAGCACCGAAATGGGGTTATTCACCTAAGGTCGGCCGTTCAGTTTTCCCATCGGGACCGGACGGATTCCCCAACACGTACTCTTCGCGTTTGTCGGCCGAAGACGAAGTGGATTCCGCACAACACGAACAATTGTCGTCTTCACAGTCGCAACAACAACTATCTTCCGTCGTGGACGCAGTCGAACAGTTTTCCAACTCGGGTTCTTCGAGAATCACTTCCAAACCTTCAATTCGCAGAGAATAGAAACAATAATGGGAGTGAGAAGTGAGAAGTGTTGCGTTTCTTCCGCTTTTTTCCCTCCCAAAGCACACGACGTCAGTCAGTCGTCCGTTCGTTCGCGAGAACCCGGAACTTTATGTATAGGAAGGGAAAAAGTTCCCCTTGAGCCAGTTCCCACGGTGTAATGACTGGCGTTTCTTCTTCCTAACTACCAGTGATAATCATGATCATTACGTCGCGAAATTGGTCATTTTTCGGCGCCTCAAAGGTCAACGATTCGATGGGAATTTCACTGGAAATCCGGCAAATGTGGTGAATCCCATGAATTGTGTGTCGTGCGGATACGATTTCGCGTTAAGAAAAGAGTGCTTGTGTACTAATTTTCATGGATTTTCGCACGAGAATCTGTACCGAGAAGACGAAGAATTCGTGTACGATGAGTTGCGAATGACGCTGAATTTGAATGATTCTTGAGTGAATTTTGTAAGCCTGAACCGATCGCTGAAGTGAAATACAGAATTTATCCTCCTCTCAGGGAAGGATTTTTCACATTTCAACGCATTTCATTGGAAAATCGTCATGTTCGAATAGCCTAATGGTGCACGAGTCCCAAATAATCGATGGATACGATGCATGAGAGAATTTTGAGCTTAAAACGATCTTGATAATGAAATGAAGAATATTTTCAAGCCGCAAATCGTGAGATTTTCTTGCTGAATTGATGAATTCTAGATAATGAATGAAATAAACCCATGATTTTGGAATGGTCGTGGTTATGGTTCGTAAATAGAACAATCTCAGAAATGAAGATCTACATGGCCAAATTTATTGACGCTTTTCACGATATTTCAAGGTAAAATCGCACCATATAACCCGTTTAATTCATCGCAGCTTTGTGAGAAATTGTGCAAGCGCAAATTCGAGGCTTCCGACGTTCACGTGAAGGTATTAAAGGATTTTCTTCGCATGAATCAAGGGATTTTCTCACGGATTTTCAAAGAACTCCTGAAATCTTGAAGGTATCCGATATATTTCACACAAAAATGAAATAATTCTCGTCAGAAAAATCAATCAAAACGTAAGACACGAAATAAAAACTTGAGAATAGCGAAATTCATCAAGTTGTAATATCTGAAGAAGTTTCTCTCGCTTCCGAAACTTATGTAATTATTTTTCGCGGACTTCGGCAAACATTTTCTTCTGATTCATGCTCTCATTTCAATGAAAAGTTGTTTACAAAGGCGATGATATGTTCGAATGACTTCTTAAAATGGCGGACTAAAGTTGCTGGAATAAAATACAGTACTGTACTGCACTGGGACAGAAAAGGGAACATTCTCGACCAACAGTGTTTATGCACTATTCAATGAATTTTGAACTTGTTTATGCAAACAAAATTCCAGATACAATTCTGTATTTTTGAATCTGCTTATTTCATGAAAAATTCTTGGAATACCAGGTCAAATTTCAGCTTCATTCTGTGTCTTTGATTCAACAGCCAGCTTTGCTGCTGTTTTCTTTCTTTCATTTCATGTTGGAAAATATTTGAAAATCAAAGTTGAAGGGTCTTCAGAAAGTTCAATAAAAATTGTCACTTTTCAGAATAAGTTGCCTCTTTTGTGTCACAGTTTCAGAGGATGAATCCAGCAAAATATTTTTACTGTAAGGAATGGTTCTGAATACGTATGATTTTATGCAATAAATCATATTTACAATGCAAAATTCCTGATCAAAATTGTGTATTTATTTTTTGACAAATATAGGTTCACATTATCTCAAAAAACAAGGAAATTGATGTCCATTTCCAAAATATATAAAATTCATCACAATTGAGTGATCAAATCAACAGGTCAAAAATTAATTTGAGAAAGTTGGTTCTCTTTCTAAAATTTGTGTATGATCAAAACTTATTTAACTTTTTGCTGAGCTGCACCTTCTGTATTTTTTGCACAAATTTTTGTGCCTAGGAAAACATCTTATGCACAAATACATTTGAAAAACTACTCTTGTTCTTGGAAAGTTAATTCTGTTCAGCGAAAATCGCGAAATCTATCAACTTCCATATTGTGCAAGAATTCCCGCTGCAGAAACCATCACGGTTATGGCAAAAAGTAAACGTTATCTATGCAAATATGATAAGGAAATGAGTCATGTTTCTGCAATAGCTATAGTTTGCGATTGAAAATTGAACTCAGGTTTTTCAATAGTTCTAATCAATAAACTAATTTGCCAATACGTCAATTTTCATTCAATCATTCAAAATCAAGATATTCGCAAGCGCAAAACATTATACGGAATATTCGCGCATTTCCGGTACGGAAATCGATCAGTGCAAAAATGAAGCGGAGATGACGCGAAAATTTACTTTCTTTGGATAGTCACTAGATGTTCCAGCCCACAAAATGTCAACCATTCGCAAAAAAGGAAAATTGACGCGTTGCTCACTTCAAATTTGGAAGCTAAAAAATTAAAAATCGATTCACTCCTGTCAAATGTTTTGTAAATGAGCATATTTTCAGTCACTGCTAAAAATGTTTTCGCGAATGGATTCACTATATTCACGCAAAATTCCGGGATAAAAATTAATTCTAAAATCAATAATTCAATTGATTGCACAATTCACTGATTGAAATAAATGCGCAAGAAGTTAATGTAAACAAATTTACTTTCGTGGCTCAACCTGTGAATAACCCGCGTAAGTGTTCCTTCAAATAATCCCCTACTCTTTTAAAATTCAAAAATCAAAAGCTTCTGTGCATATTTCGATCAAAAATTGCACAGCGACGAGCTCTCTCGAATAAATGATCATAACTCGCCGTTTTTACCTTTTTCAATCCCGAATGATGGCAACACTGTATATATGCGCACATTTGCAGTACGCTACGTGAAAATCGATCTCACAGAAACTTGCAAAAATCGAGTACGAAGAATTCAGCGCATATGTGCTTCCTTCGAAAAATGTTCCACATCGCCACACAACAATCGTCAAGTTTGCTCTTGGGGAGGAAAATAGCATCTCATTTACACACGAATCATGCAGCACAAAAACTATGAAGTGTGCGAAAAATGGCCACTTCTGCAATAATTTGACACTGGATAGGGGGAAAACAAGATGAGCCCCGCAGAAACGAGTGAACGAACGGACCAGAAAGGCAGCCAAGCAAAGTGCACAACACACACTGTCGGGCGCAACGGTCGATTGTAAAGTCAGGCCGGCGCCACCATCATCACAGCACACACAGACACGCTACAGTAACTTTTTGGGGCTCTCCTGAAAATTCTCTCACATCCCTGTGCCACTAAGCCACGCCCCCATTTGAGGAACCGCTTGTCTCAAAACTACTCTCCACTCGTTTTAACACAACTATGAATTAATCCTGCCATTGTTTACAAAACAAAACCAAAAGGTTCACTGCTGGGTTTATGTGGAGAAAATGAGCAAATGTTGTCATTTCATTTAATGTATTAGTTACTCATGGTCATTATTTTAAATGGATACCGGTAATTTCTTATGGAAAAAAACAATTAAATTTTTCTTCAATTGAGTCTTGCCTAAGGTATTGGTTGTGTTTGGCTGGAGGATTGGTTTGCAGGGACACACAGTGTAATCACAATTTCATAGACCTGGCTAGTAAAACCCAGAACCTTGATAATAAAAAAATCTCTCCAAGTGGAATACCACTGTATGTCCAATATTTCTCAAGTCCCTGACTGAATTCCCCTGGAAACAGTTCATTAAAAACCTCCCCAACTTGATGGTTTTTCCCCTCAAACCTCCATGAGGCTGAATTTCTGGGCATTCTTCTATTGACTCAGGAAAGACAAGAGCAATAAAAATAGAACTTGATGTGTTTTGGAAGGAAGTAAGAGAACAATTTAGCAAATGAATCCATGCCTCCAAGTTTAGCACCCTGTCAACTCATTTATTTTACAGTTTAAGGCCAAAAAGGAACACATGTTATGTTATCACAACCTTCAAGACTGTTTATCTAAATAGGTCACACTTCCTTGTAAATGTATGCTGACTCAGATTTGTAAGAATGGTAGAAAGACCAATTTTTTGTAACATTGACATGTGCTGGTGGAAGAAAAGTGAGTATGATACAGTTTTTCAATCTGCTGGCTTTCATTCCACAGGAAGAGCTTTTAATTTTTCCAGTGAATATCTTGCAAAAAAAAGAAGCATGAAATGTCCATTTCAATGGCTGCACTTTTCTCTCCTAAAAGTAAAATTTCAAGTCTCTT